ACAGCGCTTCACGCTCGTCACGCCCTATCGTTTGCAGGGATCACGACTGTATGTGCTTTCTAGCAGCTCACTCTTCGTCTGAAGACGCAAGCATAAGCACTCCATAAATCGGAGGCAGGGTGCCAGAGGAAACGCAGTGCTTATGGAACGATCATCTGAGCTCATTCCAATCAGTATGACGAGGCAATTTCTCACTGGGGAATACAGGTCCGAATACCTACACCTTTGGGATACGATGAATCGATGCCAGGCTCTTGATGCCAGGCTCTTGATGTTATCCAAGCAGTTAGACGAGTGGTTCCTTCCAGTGTCGAAGTCATTGCCTCCAGGAGCCTGCGCGCTAGGAAACCAGACATAGAAATCACGAAACCAGCGTCATTGCTGTGACCTTCTTGAGCTTACCGGCCCGGCGATGGTTGGTGGCTCAACCGTATCGTGACGATGGAGGCAGTGATGGAGAGCCTCTCCCTGTTCCTTTGTGATATTTTAGTTTGATCACTCCTTCGATGGTGGCACACAACACCCAAAGTGGTGGAGGTACTCGGGTTCCAAAGAGACCTGGGGCCGTATGCCATATTTCCCCTCAAAGGGGAAATTTTCCCCAGTGAATCCCCGTTCTCTGCGTGAGTGCCAGAGAGACGAGGGGCATCAGTAGAGATAACGACAGGCGAATGGAGATTCACAAGGGGAGTATAGCATACGATCCCTGTGAATCAAGGTTGAAGTCGTTCTTCTCTCTTCTTCTACTGATGAGTGCGGAGGGAGGAGATAATGACCTGTTCACAGTCAATGTCACTGAAGTTAGTCGGGGCGTGTCGGTGGCTAGCCAGTATCGACGTGACCCCAGCCTGTTTTGCACCGATCAGTGCGGTTTGGAGCGTTCGTTGAGAGGTGGCGAAAAGGATCTTGCACCGTGACAAAGATGAGAGCCATCGGCAGGCCTGGGCTGTCTTCAGTGATGATGACTGTACAGTCCTCATCATTGCGGACTGTCGGAGGCGGCGTGAGCAGCGCGGTTCGAGACCGCCTTCGGCTCCCTTGCTCTACCAATGGAGATCGGGTAGAGATCAAGGAAACAACCAATGATGGAAAGGCCGCAGGTGAGGACCGCGCTGCCTTTGCGATCCGAACCGATGGGGTGCAGTTTCAAGTGTAGTTTCCGACTGAGGACCCGTGTGGGACGGGTATTTGAGTACTCCTTTTAAGAACCTCTCTCCAATTCATTACGTTTGGGACGTCTATATGGCGAGCCTTGTTAAGTCTCTGCACACACTGTGAAGTTGTATAGAATCCCTTTGATGTGAACAAGCGCTGGAACCTGGATGCAATTAAGTGTTAAATTTGTGAACTGTAAACCTTGCAAATCCTCTAGTACTATTTCAAAAAAAGTTTTCTCTAGGAACTCACGATCCGAATTACCAAACCCTAGCCGGAATTGGAGGAGAGTTTTCGAAAAGAAAGATTGGTGAGAGGAGGCGAGGAGGAAGGGAGGCGGTGATGCGCGGCGGTGGTGGAGCGCACCACACCCACAACCCGGAGCAGCGAATTGGCTGGTGAAAACTCTTATTTTCTCTTTTCGAACGTATAAAAAAGACCCATACCTCAGTTGAAAAACGGCTTTTTTATTGCTGAAAACTAACGAAAGACCGGGTCGTTATTTCTGACTTCAAGTGAGAATGGGCTTTAAAACGCGGGGCGCTCATGGCATTGAAGTGTACAAATCGCGCAGTTCTAACTTTAGCTAAGGGTTAGCTAAGCGGAATTCGACTTGTGGGAATTCCGATGGTCTGAGAAAATCAAAATTTTGGTGGGATCTTGCGAAGATTTTAGGGACCATTCTGAATCGTTGGCTCCTCTCCAAAAACTTTAGACAAGTACTGTTCGCTGAAATATTGCTACGAATGTTTATCACATTGATTTAAACAGAAGTATATTCTTGCAGGAACATTCGATCCCAATTACCAAACCCTTGCCGGAATCGGAGGGGATGTTTTCGGTGCGGATAAGAAAGGAGCAGGCGGAGGAGGTGGCGGCGGTGGAGGCGGTGGTGGTGCACCTCCTGCGCCCAAAGCCGGCGCCGGAGGAATGGCAGGTGAGGGAACTAATGTCGTTTTTGCCGTTCTCCAGAGGGCGATGGGCTCAAGCAAGTTTTGTATTCCAGGAACATTTGATCCCAACTATCAAACTCTTGCTGGAGTCGGTGGCGATGTCTTTGGTGCGGATAAGAAGGCAGCTGGTGGTGGTGGGGGTGGAGGAGGAGGCGGAGGCAAGCCTGTGGCTCCTGCAAATCAGGTGAAGCTGCTTCTTCTCTTTCAAGGAGCCTTGGATGGCTTCTGAATATAGAGCCTAATCTAGAGTACCATCCACTGGCATAAAAAGAAGAGCTCTCTGTCCAGAGCGCTGTTTCGGTCTTGGAGAGGGCATTTTCAGACCACTTTCGCCAACATCTGATTATGGTGAGCCTGTGAGCTTGAACATCTGCTGAAATGGTCAAGAGCGGCAATGGTCAGGAGCTACGCATAATGGGTGTGTACAAGATGACCTTTTCAAGCTTCACTAAATGCACTGAATGCCCCCACCAAGTCGAACTGTGCCCCTGTTCACAAAGTTATGGGGTACTTTCGCCACAGTTCAGATTGTGGTTGCAAAGGACTGTTCCAGGAGGGGCAACACCCCAGCGCTGGCATCACAACTCTCTCGAAAACTCAATCATAGTTGAGTTTACAGGGTGCAAAAGCGGGTACTTTCGATCCGAACTATCAAACGTTGGCTGGTATTGGTGGTGATGTGTTTGGAGCAGACAAGAAAGCCGCTGGTGGTGGGGGTGGAGGAGGCGGCAAAGGCGGCGGAGGCGGCGGAGGCAAGCCTGTGGCTCCTGCAAACCAGGTGAAATTGCCTCTTCTGTTTTCGAGGAGCCTTAGATGGGTTCTGAGTAGTAGATGGTAATCCAGGGTACCATCCATTCACCTAAAAATAAGAGCTTGTTCAGAGCGCTGTTCGGCTTTGAGGGGGCATTTTTCACTGTTTTGCACCATCTGATTTTGGTGAGACCTGTGAACTCTAAGCTGCCAAAGAGGTCAAATTAACTGTAATGATCACAGGTACTAATGGTTACTGACAGGGTTTTCAAGCTTCACCAAATGCCACTGAATGCCCCCACCAAGTTGAACTGTGCTCCTGTTCAAAGTTATGGATAACTTTAGCCACAGTTTAGATTGTGGTTGCAAAAGACTGTTCCAGGAGGGGCAACACCCCAGCACTGGCATCACAACTCTCTCGGAAACTCAATCATAGTTGAGTTTACAGGGTGCAAAAGCGGGTACTTTCGATCCGAACTATCAAACGTTGGCTGGTATTGGTGGTGATGTGTTTGGAGCAGACAAGAAAGCCGCTGGAGGCGGTGGAGGCGGCGGCGGTGGAGGCAAGCCCGTAGCTCCTGCGAACCAGGTGGTAATCTACTGCTTTCTATTGTCCTAGCTTTGAGTTGTTTGTCTTGAAATATGTTCAGGCCGCCAAAGCCGGTACATTTGACCCGAATTATCAGACATTGGCCGGAATCGGTGGCGATGTGTTTGGTGCAGACAAGAAAGCAGGAGGTGGAGGAGAGTCGGCGGTAAGCCTGCACCACCAAAACCACCAGCAAACCTGGTTCGTCCAAATCTGATGAGCAAGGTCGAAGCTTTATTCTGATTCATTTCTTTTCAAGGGTGCTAAAGCAGGCACGTTTGATCCAAACTATCAGACTCTCGCTGGAATTGGAGGCAACGAAGTGTTTGGTGCCGACAAGAAGAGATGATCTCGCTAATTTCCCAAATTTTTTGGAAATAAAATTAATTTGATAGAATAAAATGGCCTAATATCCGAACCGTTCAACGAAAAACATAGCTGAGGGTGCAAGCGGCACGTTGCAGTGTCGCGGTCTCTTCCACCCCCTTTCTTTTGCACATCAATTGAATCTTAGAAGTAGTACACACGCCACGGGTTAGGGATGGGGGCCAGGAAGGGCCTCAAGAAGAAATGGCGGTTTCACTTTGGAACGCTTCCTCGCCCTTGAGTGTCTTCTCTCTCACAAACATGGATCTTACCTATCTGACTTGTACTGCCATGCTATTTCAATCAAGGGTCCTACCAAGATTACCCTATTTTGGGTGCCGCTAGTAGGGTATCTTGATGGGGTGTACAGTACCAAGGCATCCGAAACAACGACAGGGGGATTGAATCGCTCGGACGAAGCTCTCTTCTGATTCCAGGCGCTGGACAAAATCTTCACCTCTCTGGGTCATACAGATTCAGTCTTATTGCGTTTACCACCCCCCTCCGGGCAATGGCGAAATTTTGTTGCTAAAATATCGTTAGGAGGAAAGAAAAATCAAAAGAAAATTACTTAATGCTGAGTACCTCTTGCTTGCTTTTCCCGTAAAGGCTGTAATGTAAGCAGTAGGCGGTGACATCTTTTCTAGAAGAACGATCCTCTGAAAATATTCACGTCACTTCCGCAAAAGAAAGACGTAACATTAGCCGAAATGCCAAAATTAATCCCCTCTAAAAGAACTGCAGATTTATCTGACACCCACGAGCACTCACTTGGTTTACTTTGAAAATCAGCTCCACTCCACTGTATGCACTGATGTTTCGGGAAAATGCTGACGTTCTGGATCTTGTGACGTTCTCTGGATCTATTTCCAACTATAATAAGGGAATGCGAGACGTTAAACTCACTCGAGGGCGGATAAGCAAGCCTCATAAATTAGTCACGTGGGCCGTTTTCGGATCGGGACCCAGTCTGTTTAACGTGGAACTATACCATTACGACGAAACAAGAAACAACGGAATGCACTCTGAACTTCTTGGAATTGCCTCTGAGAGAGTTCAACCTCCGTACGGATGAAGTGCACGACCACCTGGCACCTAAATACTTAATGCTACCGCCTTAGGTGCCTGGCACTTGTGGCACTGGCGCCAAACGTTTTCTTTTGAAACCACAAGTGATTAGTGCTAGCGGTATCTTCAGTCTTATTTCGAATTATGGGGCGTGTCAAGAAGAGATGGATGGGTTTGGCACGGCATTTCTCCTGGTAGGAGGCAGGACTGTATCATATAGTTCGTATCAGTCGTTTTTCACCGGTCGTTGTCACTCACCCGCTTCGTCAACTGGTAATGAACGGACTGGCGGCTAGCCAAACCCATCATCACTGACATAGTCTTCAACCTCAGCGAACAAGGCTCTAAGGAGGCAGATAGCTGGATCGAGAAACAAGTCAAAGTCATTCTTCGTAGAGTAGCTTCTCAAAGGCTGAACAGTGAGTGCCCACACCTCTAACTTCTGTAGCGTAACTTTGGAAGTCCTCAGCTCTTCAACTTCATTTGAAACCCATTTGTTGAATCTGCGACCCCGTAGTGTTCTGATAACGAGTAGAGGCTGTTCCTCGATGACTTGTTAGCCGTGCCAGTCACGCAGAATAATCCGCGAGAATCCTTAGTTCCCAATATCGTCATGAAAATCATGACGACAAATGTATCGTTGACGTAATTGGCTAGAATATTGGATGTAAAGACAAATTGACTGTACGGGCTTCCTTGCAATATATGAGATGGTGGTAGCGATCAAAGGCGACATGCTGGACGAGCAGCTTTGCAGCTCTGGAAG